CAGTTAACTGGCAAGCCCTGTGCTCTCCCGGCCAGTTATTCTTCTTTGGTTTACCAAGGGTAAAAATGCAAGCATCAAAGAGGGCCGCATGATTTCACTTGTGCAATAAGCTCCTTTCACCTACATCACTTCACACTTCCCGGAGTGCAAAGTTCACACAGATATTGATGGCTTTCTCACTTGCTGCTTTTTTGGCAGCAGCCCTCCTGTTTGGCTGTTCATTAATATACAATCAGTACATTAAAGGCTTTGTTCCACATTTCCAGCCAGGCTATAGACGGCCTATTCAGCAAGAGCAGTGCTTCTGGGGACAAAACAGCAGAATGATGACTTACTCAACACGTTTAGAAAAGGTGCAAAATAAAAATTAAAAAAAAAAAAAGTTTTAGGCAACATCCAAAACAAAGATCGGCCCTAAATTCCTAATCGCTTGGTTAAATGAGTACAAAAGACACGTCCAGAGAAAACGTGGATGCTTCAGTGGCCTTTGCTCACTCTCGCAGGCTGTATCAAATCACGGTTTCAAGCATGTAGAATTGTTTTGCTATTTATTAGTTGGCCTAATAAAGAGGTGTCATCTCTGAACCAACAGTTTTAGACATTTGCATTTCTTTCTGGTTTCAAGCGGCATTCACAGAATAGCTAAGCTACTACCTATCTAGAGGGCAGTACAGCTCATTTAAACCAACCGATACCGGCCTCGCCCCTGCCGCAGGAACAGACTCTGCTTGAGAGATGCTGCCTAAACGGTGACCCATTCTCCCTTCAGAATACGAGGAGGCTGGAAATCGGGGCCGTGAGAGGTCCCAGAGCCGAGAACCGGACTAATCCGAGTAACCACGTGGATCGATGGAGACGCCATGTGTCCCCTCATTCAACTGGCTCATCTCCCTTATGATCCTTCGGGAACCCTAGGGTGCAGGGGCAGGAAACGAGAGAAGCCGGGGACCCTTCGCTCCGGGAAACGCGGGAACAAAAGGAATGACCCCGTTTTAAATTCGACTTTCAATCACATTGGCCGCTGTGTTTCCCCCGCCCAATGCAAAAAAGTGCAGGTCTGCAGCAGGTAACACCCGAGCTGCATCCTCTCGCCAAGCCGGCGCTGTCCTTTCTGCACCCCCCATTGCACCCACTTGCCCCCCTCCATACAGGGTGCCAAGCCCAAATTCTCATGCCCTGGATGCAGTAGCACGTTAACCTCAATCCAAAGGCATTTCAACACATTTTCAAAATCTGCCTTATGTTTGGACTAGCTGTGACCTCCTGAGCTCCCCTTCCAACCCTCATTTTCTACGATTCCTCTCTGGGACGCTAGACACCGACTTGTTGGTAAAAGTATAAAGCCACGAGCCCGTGCTTGAAAGAGTCAGGGCCATCTGAGCTGCAGTGTAAATAATAAGCAAAAAAAAATGCAATTATTTCAAGTCCCTTCACACAAGCCGAAATTGTTTTGTTCTGCTGTTTTCGGGAGAGCGCAAGCTGCGTTTCAAACCGGGACACAAGATCCCCGTCTCCTTGAACTTAAAAGGAAGTTTTTATCTGAATTCAGGCCCATCTCCGAGTTAAAACACAACACAGACGAATAACATTTGCACACCAGTGTTTATCACTCCCGCGCTGGGTGCTCTCCACGCCATCAGGTCGCCGCGAGCCTCTTCCAACTCCTGCGCAGTGCCACGGGCTGTTAAACGTCTGCGTTTGCACTGGGGAGATTACATTAAATCAGCCAGCTGCGCATGCGCTGGAAGCAGAAAAAGGGACGACGCGCCACTTAAGAACCTGAGAATATTTTGCATTTATAAATAGTTTACATTTTTTTGGATCCAGTTGCGGACAACGTGCTCGGTCTGTGTTGAAACCAAAAAAACATCATGTGTGAGCACTAACCGCAGTGTAACAGGGATAAAATACACCAGACCGTGGG